TCAAATCTAACCAAAGAGACAAAATGGAAGGAAGCTACGGGTTGAGATACTTATTTTAAGATAGTTAGCGATTTGCTAAAGGTAGGTGATATACAATATCAGGATTACACTTTTAGTGATGGCTTGCTCTATTTCAAGAAGAAAATTTATGTACCTAAAAATGCTAAACTTTGAACGTACATACTTTAGGAAGTACATGACATCTCAATATCTAGACATATGAAATGAGAGAAGACTCTAGAATAGATCTCAAGAACATGATTTTAGACAATTTTGGACCATGATGTTTGAGCCTCGACTTCAAGTCACGTGAATTCCAAGCTTCGGATCCCACTGTGCTGGAAACTAAATGCTCAATCAAGTCTAAGATATAAAAGTACCAAGTTTATATATATAATTGTGATTGCTCGTTTTATTTATTCTGGAAGAAACCTCCCAACATAAATCCGTATAGGAGGATTCGAACACGGCGAATGACTAGTTGCTTAAGCGTTCACATTAGGGTCACACAATCAATTACCTCCTGAATATATCGTCTCTATTTTCAATATCTGAACACACAAGAAAACTATAATCTCTTCCTTCATCTTATCGGCCTTTTCTTTACAGTAATTCAGTCATACCAATAACTGCTATTTCCACCAATATAATCACCCTCATAATCTCCAACTGTAATACTGCGTACTCACAACTTTCAGCACATAATTACCTTCATTCCAATCACTGGAATTCTTCAGACAGAACTGCCATTCACATTACGGTGTTTGACACAAACACAGATTCATTCTCTCTGCTGAACTACAATCAGATTTCAGCATTCAATCTTTCTTCTTCTCAAATAATATCAATCACATTTCTATTCCATAATTCACTTCACAATATTTAGAAACTCTCAATCTTCTTATTCAAAGAAAATAACAAACAAAAGAAAAGAGGTAGTACTAAACTTACCCCAGTTCATACTATTACAGTCTGGGCCTCGGCTCATGACTATCACAGTCTGGCACCTTAACTAACTTCTACAACTCCTATATACTTTTCCCTGATTCTAAAGATTCTAATCGTAATTTTGTAATTAACTGCTTTTAATAACTAAAGTACTCATTCGTCCTCCTGAATTTCTTATTATATGGACTATTAATATATTTTACCAATTTCCTATTATATAGACTATTAATATATTTTAGGGCAATTACATCTATACATAAGCCTAAGTACCAAAAAAACACCCAAATGTATGATAAAGTATCTTAAAACCTTTTATATCCTTATGAAAAATATTTCTTGAACTTCAATAATTCATATCTCATGATCGGATCGTCCAAACAATCCTAAAGTTTATATAAATTACTGATATACTTTCAAAAACTACCACAAAAAATTTCAACTATAAATTTGTTACAAATCTTGAGATATCACCAAAATCCTAACATTAGCTTTAAACACTAGCTTACATATGCCTATGTGCTATTTTCTTCATATTTCACAAAATAAGTATTCAAATACCATGAAAATTTGATCTATAGCTTTTTAACCTAATAACTCACACTTACAAAAAATTTGAGCCAAAACTTCGTCCAGAAACTTAAAATATGGCTCCAATCATTACTATCAAAAAAATGACTTACTTATTGCCTTTGAATTACATGTGTTGTCTTCAATGCCTTATAACTCCTTTATCTAAACTTGGAATTCATCAAATAATATATGTAAAGTATAGCCAAGAAAGTGTGCTGTCTAATTCTAGTCGCCGATCTTTCATTGCTCTTTGTAAGCATACCTTATGCTTCAAAGAGTGACAGTAGGTACAAATTTGACACCTTAACTTTGAATACCTATATCTCCTTCACAAAAACTCAAAATCACACAAAATCTTCACCCAAATTATACCCAAAATCTTGAACTTGCTGATCTTAGCCTCCAAAGCACAAATGACCTCGAAAGAGAAACCCTAATTCCTAATAAGGCCTCGGGCAGTCTCCTTGAAGTCCATGGGGCATGGCCTTTGACCAATAGGAATGAAGATCTCCATTCCTTGCCTTCATCCAACCATGCCTTGCTTTCATCCCTCCCAATAAGCCTCCTATTAGTTAAAAATTTCTTCTTTAGGCTCTAATTTATTCTCAAGGCTTCATATTAAACATTTAGGTCCTATAATTTTTTTAAATATTATAATCAAAACAGATAAAACTCAAAATAAAGTTTCTTAAATCCACTCTCTTTAAATTAATTTATTAACCATTCTAACATACACCAAGACTTATGAATATATTATATGTTCTAATTAAATTTTAACATACTATAAGCATTTACTGTATAACAATGCTCTTATGAGTCATGTTAATGTAATAAAGCATGCAACGTAGTGTCTCTTTGACTATTGCAGCTAATACCACTACCTACGGCACATTGAGAGCAGGTGACTATGGATCTGATTATGTGTTTATTGCAATCACCACATAATCATATTGCGATTGTTGTCTTTGTGGATCAACTCTCAAAGTAATTTTATTTGGCGACAGTATGCTTAAATATTGATGCCCCAATGCTTGCACAAGTCTTCTTTGATACCATCTTTTATCACCATAGATTATCTCATTTTAGATTAGGATCCATACTTCATGGGAAGTTTTTGACAAGCCTTGTTCAATCTACTAGGTACATGATTTATCATGTCTACACCCTTCCATCTTCAAACAGATGGACAAACAAAGCATGCAAATCAGACCTTAGAAGATATGCTACGGGCATTTGTGATGGTTCATCATATTTTTGGGATGAATACTTGATGCCTTTGGAATTTACTTACAATGATAGTATTCAAGCAAGTACTGGTCATTCATTATTTTTTCTTAATATCAGCCAGCATCTAATTATGCTAGCAACTCTCTATTGTTCCATCAACACCAATAACTCAACAACAGAGGAATTTATATAATAGCTTATAACGGCCTTATAAGAGGCTTGATACTACCTCTTTACTACATAGAATCGACAAAAGCAATATGCAAATAACCATCAATAGCACAAGACCTTCCAGAAGGGTGATCAAGTATAACTCTCTAATACCAACTTGCCACTTGTTACATCAACCAAAATCTGTGAATTAACACCTCCGTAGCTTGGACCTTTTTACATTTTTGCAATGATTTCTGATGTCGCATACCATCTTGAGCTTCTACTACATATTCGGGTCTATCCAATCTTCCATATTTTGCAACTAAAAGAATTTCACATTGAGCCAAAGTGCTTTTTGGATGGACACCAACCACCACCGCCACCACCACCACTACCACCAATTGTAGTTGATGACCAACAAAAATATGAAGTGGATAGTATTTTGGACCATCGCTACCTTTGTCATGGCAGTAGATGTCTACAACTTTTATACAAAGTTCTTAAGAAAGATTATCCTATTTACAATACAATATGAAAACTTACACAAAATCTCACCCATTGCCAAGAGACAATTCGGAGATACCATCAAGAGAAAAACAAGGGCATTCCGCATTAGTAGAGGAGGATAAACTGTAACAATGTTTAGATAAGATAAATGTATAGATAGAATGAACCATGGAAGTTTCTAGAATTGAAGTTAAGATAATGGACCAAGTAAGATCCACTATAGAACATTCTAAAAAGATTTTAGTGCAGTTATATAAATGAGGCTCACCATAGAACCTTCTAAAAAGGGAGTTTAAGGCGATTATCTAGGTGGGGCCTAAAATAGAATCTTCTAAAAAAGAAAAAAGATAGTCATCTAGGTAGAGCCCACCACTTAGGAATATTTTAGAAAGTCTAGAGTAGTAGGATAAGGTATAAATAGGACTAGCTAGGGCCTTCTAGAGCATCTGATCAGATAAGATTTTGGATCTTTTTTCTTAATAAAATTTGATTTTGCATCTTTCTATTTAAATTTATTTTGTTCTATTGATGTTTGCTCGGTTTTCTCTTCATATCCTATTATGTTCAATTCCATTCAATTTTATTCTGGTTTGTTTTGTCATATTTTGTAATGAAGCTTTGTATTACCATCGATTAGAAGGATCTTGGATTTCTAAGATAGTCTAGTCTTATTTCATCTCCATTCTAGTCTTAGTTAAGCTTTGCTATACAAAGCCCTAATTCAATCCTTGGCTATACAAATGAAGCAACTATATCATCTACATAAATTTTAATTATAAGAACATCTCTGACTAGTTGCTTTGTTAATCCAAATGGAGCAATGACCATTATGGTGATACATGTGGAGCCATCAAAAAGACAAAGATAGATTTCGACAATCAATGCAAATATCACTCTTATGCAAATTCTGATAAATACGATCAAAAGGTTAAATAAAACAATAATCCATTAAAAGCTGACATTTGAATGACCACATTGGTAGCATTCATCTGGAATGCAACAAACCAAACAAAGCCATGACACAAAGTTATGTATAGTACAAGCAAATTCAAACAAAAAATACAAGACCTTAAAGACTCAAAAACTACTCCACCACCAAAATATTTTAGACAATTTACAATTATAAACCTCTTTGTTGATAAGCTCAGAAATTCCATTTTCGAATTTCAACTAAATTCAATGCTTGAAAATATTTAAATGTACCTACAAATTTATTGCCATCAACTTGACACACCAATTTGTTCAGGTACCCCCTTCGTATCATCTATGTAGCACCCTAATATCACAAAGTTTGTATGATTTCATCCATTTGTTTTGGATTTCAACCAAGAATTTAGAAATTTCATTTTGTTGATTCTATACTAGAGGTTGAATCTCCCTCTCCATACATGACTAGATCTCAAATGCCAGAAATTTCATTAATCTATGTTTCATTGCCATAGAGGTTCTAAGAAAAGCACCCCTATCAATTACCTAACAAATCCACCTCATGTTCAAGTGGATGAACCCCCTATCCAACATATCAATCTCTGTGAAAGAACACATCCATGCAACACCCAATTCTGAACCATAAAAGTTGTATAAGCACACAGACGTGGCATAATGAAAAATATGCAATGTGCATCATAGAATCATCGCAGAATAATACATTGGACACAAGATATGTTATGCTCATGCAGCCTTGCCAGCAGAGCACTTGTCTGTGCCCAGTTTAATCTAAAGCTCCACCTAAATATATACTACACCGAATCCTTTGTGCAACGAAATTTTGCTCCTGCTCCAGCACAATCACTGCCACTGCAACGACTTCGAACATGACAACAACAACCGTCAAAAGCTTGAAAACCAGAGCTTTCAGCAGCTAGTCCATATCGCCGAAACAATATCTGTCAAACTCTTTCCTTTGCGGTGTTGCATGTTACACTTTGGGCCTCGGCTTCACATCCATCCGCTTGGATGCTACCCGGGGGACGTCCGTGTCCGTAGCGCCTCCGCATCTGCTCACCGACGAGCAGCTCCATGTCCAGCGGCTGGTCGCACGGCTCGCTGCTGATCTGAATCATGCACGGCGAAGGAGCGTGGTCCACACCCGCACCCGGCCACCGCCCCTGCACACTCCCTGTCCCTCATCCGATGCGTTTCTCGCGCCCTGCTTCCCCCATTTACACGTTCGCGGCGGCGCGAAGCACCAGCACCTCCAACGTCAGCCCCGGCCCGAAGCCGATGAAGAACCCGAAGTCGCTCCCCTCTCCCAGCGTGGACGCCCCCATCTTCACCGACCTCTGCCGAATCTGATCCAGCACGAACAACACCGACGAGCTCGACATGTTGCCGTACTCCGACAGGATGTCCCTGCTCCCCTGCATCTTGTCCTTGGTCAGCTTCAGTTTCGCCTCGACCTGGTCCAGGATGGCCGGGCCTCCTGGGTGCACAGCCCAGAACATTTCGTTCCACTCCGGCGACCCAACGCACTTCCTGGCCTCGTTCAAGAACTTCTCGATGTTCTTGGAGATCAGCCCTGGCACGTCCTTCATGAGGTGGAAGATGAGCCCCGCCTCCGTGAGGTGCCCGTCGATGGCGCCGTCGCTCTCCGGCAAGATCGACTCGCCCGCCCAGTGCACCTCGAACAACGCCTTCTCCGCCTCGGGCTTGGGGTCGGATCCCACCACGTACACGCCGGCGCCATCGCCGAACAGCGCCGATCCCACCAGGCCGTCCAAGTGGTTCTCGCTCGGGGCGCGGTAGGTGACGGCCGTGACCTCGCTGCACACCGCCAGCACCCTGGCGCCCTTGTTGTTCTCGGCCAGATCCTTGGCCACCCGGAGCACGGACGCGCCGCCGAAGCACCCGGTCTGGTACATCATCACCCGCTTCACGGTGGGCTTCAACCCCAGCAGCTTGGCCAGGGCGTGGTCGGCTCCGGGCATGTTCACGCCGCTGGTGGTGGCGAACACGATGTGGGTGATGTCGGACTTGCGGCCGCCCCACTCCTTGATGGCCTTCTGCGCGGCCTCGGCAGCCAGCTTGGGCACCTGGACGACGACGATGTCGTGGCGGACGTTCAGGGAGGGCTCCATGTACGTGCAGATGCCGGGGTTGGCCTTGAGCACCTCCTCCGTGAGGAACATGTGGCGCTTCCTGATGCCAGACTTGTCGCAGATGCGCTTGAATTTGGCCTTCAGTGCCTCCTTCTCGCTGGTGTTGGTGATGTTGAAGAAGAAGTCGGGGTACTCGCTCTGCAGGAACTCGGTGGGAGGCACAGCAGTGCCGATGCCGAGCACGCACGCCGGACCCTCCGCACGGGGCTGACCCCTGGGAATTGGCGCATGCATCCTCACGAGGGGGGCGGCGGCAACCTGCTCATCGGAGGCGGCGATGTCAAGCTCTCCGGCTCGCGGTGCCATTGCTGCCAACGGATGTGCTAGAGCCTGCGACGTGAATCCCAAACTAGGTCGTCTGCACAGAAACTTCGGAATGGATAGGCACCCGAGCGAGCAACAAGCGACACGCTTTGCAAACGTTTTCGGGTCGAGAACTACAACCAAAACTCTAACGCTCGCTGAATCGGGAAAAGGGGTCGGAATCGGCAGCGACGCTGCGATGTGCGAACCTTGAGTGGATGGATTGCCTGTGTGAGGATTGAGGATCGGTGGGCTTTAAGAAGTACTCCCCCTGCAACCTGGTAGCCGAGAAGAGAGTTGCGACGACTGGAGCTTCTGTTGTGGTGAGGGTTCATGGCGCACTGCGTCACATTCTGCACGGGTCCACCTGCTTGGAAAGGGGGGCTGTGGCGTTGAGAAACGAGTTTGCGAAAGACTTAAGGAAAAGTATCTGCGGAGGCGTTGAATTGTGGAATGTTTGGCGCTTTTGGACCTTGAATTGTGCAGGTTCCCTGTGGCATATGGAGCAACAGTTCCTTGGCTATGGGTTATGAGGACTTTGTTTGCCTCAATGTTGGCGGCTGGTTTGTGGGATGAGTGAGTTCGTGTTTTGTTTTTGTCCAACGGGTTTGGCCGCGTTGATATTGCCGGTTTGATTTCAGGCATATGTTTAATAGGTGGTGGGACATGTCGATATGTTTCAGTAGACTTAGGGGGTGACTGTGTGATCATTATGTGCCTTGTTTGGATTCGGATTGGTTTAACTTTTGTTCAAGAATAAAATATACTAGCCCGTAATATACAGGGTGAGTCAATGGTTTATTAGATATAGGTAATCAACTTTACTTGCGTTAAAATAAACTCTTCTTATAAAATCCAAAAACTCTTCTTATATATTAATTTGCGGTGGAAGTGGATTGAAGGTGGATTTATCTCGACATGGCCAAATGACATAAGAATGCATTGTCCTTCAGGAATACATATTCTTGTTATAAAGAACAAGCCCGAAGTATTTTGAACACTCGAATTTTGTCTAATTGGGCTAAAATGCGTAAGCCGTCCGTTCTTCTATTATATGAATTATATTTAATCTTACTTAATGCTAGAAAGTTATCTTTGACTTGCAACATGTTTTTTTTTTAATAAAAAAGCTTACATTCTCTATCCAAATTGATTATTTTTTGAAGGTTAGATTTGTTGCATGTATTTTCAACTCCGTTCTAGTCTCTTCTAATTTCCCATCAACAATCTATGGATAACATATTCAACAACTCCGACCATAATGTACTTTGCTTTCTTTGGTGTAAGTTGAATACACATTTAAAACTTTGATATCATCACCCATAAGTCTTTTGAATCTTATCTAATGCTTCCAACTTAAATTAGAGAATCCAATTAATTCTATTAGGTATAACATGTAGGAAGTGATCCATATATCAACCCCTCCACTTTGTCCTACCTTCATGCATTGAATAATTACAAGCCACTATAGCTTCATAGTAAAAGAAACTTGTATTTGGCCATATCATATTTTTCAAGGCCATTAATTTATCTCTACATAATTTGTATTCGTGTATCCAAAGGATATTGATCTTTTAAATGTATTACCAAAAATAAATCTTAAATACTTTAATTTTTATTGGATCATAAAATCCTTACTATTTTGCATCAAAATTTAAATTTTCACTATTCAAGAAAAGATGATGGAATAGTCTGATCTTGGGAGTTTCTATTAGTGTGTTCCAAAAGTCAACTAACTTTTCTTTGCCGCATGAATTCAAGAGAACATTGTCTCTTTAATACCTCCAAATGCTGATTTTGCCTCTCATTGTTTAGTTGATTAATCTATTTTATATATTCAAGTTAATAAAATTACTTAATATTCTTTGCCTTGTAACCATTTAGTTAAGAATCAGATTAAAAATATGAAAATATCTTTATTTGTTCTCTATAATATCCTTGGTAAGAAGTTAAAGGATCAAAAATTTTCCTTCAATATTAACTTATTATATCTTAAGTTTGCAAGATATGATGTCAACAACATTTAACTAGAAGATGATTCATAAACCAACGAAATTCGAGTCAAAGAAAAAGTAACAAAATAAAAATAAGGAAGTAGGTATATTAAAAAGAAATTGGAATGGTTTATTGCCAAAAGACAAGAAAACTTAAGACTCTTCAAACTAGACTAGAAGCAAGAAAGGAGTTGACACGAGTGAAGAGGGCTTTACTCTTGCCTCTATATATACTATCTAATTAAGAACTATGTGACTTGGCAAGACACATGCCTTGGCTTACAAGACAGGTTTTCTACATGTATGCCATATAATTAGTTTTTTCTTTAAACTATCAACATGTGTGGCACATAGCCAACTTGTTGACCACGTTTTTAATTAAAAAATCAATAAAAGACACCTATAAAATCAAAGTAGCATCTATAAAGCTTCTATAGAAGATATTATGGAATTGACCTACTTTTATCTACTATTATCTAAATCATATAATTATTGGTTTACATGTGTATATCCATGACATTATCCTCCCTCTAAAGACGAGTTCCACTAGAAGTAGTCTTTATATGTTGAGAAAATCCAAGATGTGGCGGATTGCAGCAAAGTGCCACCTCTTCTTATAGAAGTGGATAATAATGAAGAATTTGAAGTAGAAGAAGACTTAGATTCAAGGTGGTGCCAAAATAAATTGAAATATCTTGTTCATTGGCATGGATACAATATTAGTGAACACACATAGGAGCTAGTAAAGAATCTTGCAAATGCAGCAAAGAAGGTGGAGGCTTTTCATTGACAACATCCATCAAAATTAAAATCAAGACCTTCATTATAAAAGAAACAAGATATAGACAAGATAACATTCTACTTCCAATCCTTGTTTGTAGCTTCTTTGTATTTGTGATGATGAAGAGATGGAAAACCAACAACTAGCAGATATGACTAAAGAGCCTTTGTTTGCTAATTTGTCACTTAAGACATTGCAATTGTCGCATCTTTTAAGATGACTCAATTGAGATGAAGATCCTCAAGAACAACATGTTCTCCCTCATATAGATGATAACATACAATGCATTTGGTATTACAATCTTAGAAGAGACTCCCAATGTTTGATAATTTTATTAGAGGTAAGAACAACTCCTAACGATGTTCCAAATGTTTTATTTGAAGGAAGTTATGAAGGCCTCAACAACAATCAAATAATAGGGTGGTCTTCTCGCCGTAATATGGAACACTATCAATGGCTAAGAGGGCCTATCAATTATCTTCAAAGAGAACAAAGATCAAAGTATGTTGCAAATTATCTTCTTCTTAGTAACTCCACTGTCTTCTATGGTTCAAGAAGAGACATGTGGAATATTAGATGGATTTTCATTGACTCCGATAGGTGTAAATTATATGCAATTAGATTCATTTGTGCAGAAATAGGAAATGGCCCAAGCCTACGATAGTCCAATTTGTCATAAAGACGAGTAGTCTGGATATTGTGACAAAGTAACCATATCTTATCACCCACATGGAATAGTGGTTGTTCATTTTAATAGACATTCGCATTGATCTTTTCTTGTCCTTGAACTTCTTTTAACTGTGCCTTCATTATTGCATGTATCTTTGACAAATGATTTGTCAAATCTTTTGCTGTAGGATTATCAGCTTCTAAAAAGTCAAAAGCATCAAGTCATAGATAATAACCATAATTGGCAAAGAAAGGTGTTTGTTTTGTAGAAGAATGTATTATATTATTATAAGCAAACTTTGCCAATGGCAAAGTATTGTCCACTCATTTCATTGATAATTGATAATACATCTTAAATATTACTCCAAAACTTGATTAATATACTTTGTTTGTCCATCAATTTGAGGATAGAATACCAAAGATAGTTTTATATCTACTTTTAGAATCTTGAAAAGGGTCAGCCAAAATCTTGATACAAATTGAATTCCCTTATTTGATATGATATCCTTAGATAATCTATGATAGTAATAGATGTTGTTAAAAAAGAGTCTAGCTATTTCTTCACATGTGATAGATTTTGTACCTAGTACAAAATGTGCGAGCTTAGTAAAACAATCAACTATCACAAATATAGAGTCATAAGAACTTGAGATTAGAAGATCTGTAATGAAATCCATAGAAATAACAAACCATGGTTGTTTTGGAATGGATAATGGTTGAAGAAGTCCATAAGATTGATGTCGAGGAGTTTTTGATCTTGAAAAAATGTCAGATGACTGAACAACATCTTTCAGACCCTTTCACATTTGTAGCCACTAAAAATCTGTAGATATAAGATCAAAAGTCTTGTTGTATCCAAAATATCATGCTGTTGGAAAGTCATGATGTGCTTGAAAAATACGTAATCATGCATCTTCTTTTCGAACATATAATTGACCTTCAAAATAAAATAGGTTGTTTTTGAACTCAATCTTAGAAGTATCTTAAAACTTAGAAGAAGGATTTTTAATATTTTAAACAAGAAGATTAGAAGACATATTTGATTGAATTTGTTTCAAAAGAGTTGAATTAATAGTCAATGTTGATTTCATTATTTGAAGATGAAAATGCTCTACCTTCAAGAAAATCATTCTTTGTTGATTAAAAGATGCATCTCTTTTTCTTGGTATAAGTTAAGAATGTCTAATAAAGGCATTCTATAAATCTTATTTTTTAGATTAATATGTCATCTTGAAATCAAATCCTGATAAAGACATACTCCAATGGGCTTAGTGATGATTCAAAACATGTATTGATATAAAGTACTTGAGATTCTTATAGTCCATATATATGGTGATTGGATTAGAAGCGCCTTCTAAATGATGATGCTATTCTTGAAATGAATCTACAATTGTAAGAAGTTCTTTGTCATAGATTTCATAGTTAATCTTGGTTGTTGAAAATTTTCTGAAATGAAAAGCTACTAGGTGAAGTTTATTATTTCTTTCTATTTGTGATAATATGACATTCAAAGTAAAGTCTCATGCATCTGTTTCTATAAAAAATACCTTAGAAAAGTCAATGGGATATAAGATTGTTGCAAAAATAAAGGCTAATTTCAAAGCTTCAAAAGTTGCTTCAACTTCTTTGCTCCACTCGAGTTTGTCTTTGTAAGTTAAATGTATAAGTGGAAGTGCAACTCGAAAGAAGTCTTTGATAAAGATCCAATAATAGTTGGCAAAGCCCAAAAAATATTAGGCATCTCTTACCATTTTTGAAATCTTTCAATTCATAATACTTTGAACTTTCTTAGGATCCATCACAAGTCCATCATTTGAAATGATGTATCCTAAGAAGTCAACTTGAGTACTATAGAATACATACTTTTTTATCTTGGTATAGAATCTCGCATCTCTTAATTTTTATAACATACTACAAATCTGAACTTCATATTCATTTGTGTTCTTACAATAGGTCAAAATGTCCTTTAGATAGTAGACAATAAAATCATCCAAAAACTCTCAAAAAACATCATTCATTAGATATTGAAAAGCTACCAGTGCATTTGTAAGTTCAAAAGGCATGATGTTGTATTCAAAATGTCTATACTTACTTGTCAACGTAATCTTCTATTCATCTCTTTTTTTATTA